CAGTACCATAATATATAGTTGTGTGTCTGCAAGCATGTATAATATTCAATTAAAAATTGAACATTAAAAATATATTTAGAAACTATAATAATCAATTAGCGATGATGCCATACACTTTACTTAAAGGGCAGTGCCCTATTTTTCACTATACATCTACTTATCAACGTATAATCATTAACATAACTACAGAGAATGGAGTGGCCTGGTGGTTAGGACACACAAATCTCAACCTGTGAGTTCCAATATGGTCACCAAATATGCTCATCTTTTAGGTCGTAGGGGTGTTATAACGTGATGGTTAATCCAACTTTTCATCTTTAAATAGTACCCCAAGTGTTGGTGGTGGGTGGTGTTGACTCTAGTCTATCCCTTTCAAATTGAGTATTTTTCACAAAGTTCAACAAACAAACAAACACAAATACAACAGCTATACAGAATAGAATGAGGTATCAACCGAAATATAATTTTTCACTATATTAGTCATAAAATACCCATAGAGCTCATCAGACCGCTGGAATACAACAAACATAGTAATGATCTAAACTTTTTTTGGATATGATGGACATAGTGTGGTTGAAATACAATTATACATTCTTCTTATGCGAAAACCTCTATAGAACTGAATAAAAAATGCAGTGTTTAAAAATAGAATAAATCTAATACTACTGTTCTCCGACAAATAAATATGATTATAATGGTGTTTTGTCAGCTTAAACAAAAGGGTGAGGGTTCGTTTACACCTTAACAACTGTTAACTTAATTTATTTAAACAATTAATGTGAGTTTAAATATGTAGAACACGACAGGAGATATTATATTTTCTTTCGAGGCTCCTACCTCAAAAATAATTAACTAGAGGTTAAGAAATTTCTATCTTGAAGTAAAATGAAACTTGAAAAGTTATGAATATTTGATAACAGCACTACATAATAAACTGAAAACAAACTTAAATCATACAACTAGCAAGGGACAACAGTTACTTTAGTTTGCTAAAACTGACACCAAAACTTACATTTTGACTCCAGGTGGAGGATTCCACAGGCAATCGCCGGTAGCCAGATTAGCATAAATGTGTTCTTTGGTACGAGGTTCGACAATCTCGACCCAGTCCACCCTGTGAAGCAAATAAAGTCTCTAGACACTGGTCTTTCAATGAAATTCCTGTTAACTTCAAAACACATACATCACACATTCACGAAACTGTTAAAATAATAATAATTATATTCTGTTTGCTTGTTAAAATATCGATTCTGTCACAACCTGTTGAAAAAAGATTTCAACTTACATATTTCACATATCAAATTTTTGCGTGTGTAGCTTTGAATAAGATTCTTTTTGTATGTGATAGAAGATCTTGGTAATATACCTTCAGTTTGTTCCAGTTTGAATAGCTTACTGCTATATAATTGCATGTGACAGATGGGTCTTGGTGATATTTGTTTAACGTTACTTCCTTCTGTACTTACATGAAACAGGTTTTATTAATATTCGAACAGTTTTAATGATGTCACATCCTTTTGCACATGCATGCGATAGGTAATGGTAATATTCTTCCAGTTTGAATTACGTCACTTCCTTTCGAACGAAACTGGAAGTTTTTATAGAAACCAAATACTAATTATTTTTCCGTCTTAAATATTCAATGCTTTCTTATATTCACAGTTTCACATTAATTTTCCATCAGTTGCTTTGTTCAGTTACTACCTTAGTTTCACATTTTTAACCTCATGTGGCAATATATTAAAGTAGACCTGTTTAAAATTTCGTAACAAGTGATCGATATTCCCAGTTACCATGAGCACATACTTAATGGACCTAGTCACCTCACATATATACTCAGTGGGAGAACACGACTATAAAACTAATAGACCAGCTCACCACAGCTACATATATATATATATATTGAGTGGATCGGTTGTCCACAATTGCATACTTAATGGATCTAGTCACCTCACATATATACTCAGTGGAAAAACACGACTATAAAACTAATAGACCAGTTCACCACAGCTATATATATATATATTGAATGGATCGGTTGTCCACAACTGCACACTTAATGGCTCGGGTTGCCAGCACCATGTATCTACTGGACCCAGTAACTATCGCTGTCTGTTTATAATTGCTCTTAAAACTTTGATGTGGTGTATTTTGCAGTGTTTACGAAATATTTTAAAGAATGACATAAAAATACACATGGTACAAAAGCATATATTAACATCATGTCGTTTATAAGACTAAACTTGGCTCGTTATGTTCATATTCTACAAAGCGAATTCCTTATATATAAATGACGAAAATCACTATCCAGCTAAGATAATAATAAAGTATGATATCAACATCACTTCACTTAATAATTTAAAATTTCACGCAAACTTATCTGCGCAAAGCCGTTCCTAATATTGGAAAGATAGCTAGGCTACAGCACTTAGCATCGAACATTAGTTTATATTTGTGAGTTTAAACAGCGCGATTCGACTGTCACTTTTCAGTGTATACCCGGCTCCAAAGCAAGAAGCATGTTCCTGGGGCAACGGGTCGCGATCCATAAGCCTTCGGATTCACATTTTGGGTATTTTAACCAAGCCACGCCCAGCCCAATTGCAAGATCTCAGAGTTTGGAGACAGGCGTGTTTGTTATTATGTGTGAGTGTGTGCACAATTAAGGTTCGTAACTCGTAAAGGCATGAACAATTAGAAAAGTCTCCACAACTTAAAATAGCGATAAAGATACAAAATGGCAAGTCAGCCGACCGAGACGTGAAATTTAGGCTTAAGGTGCATATAGTCCATTTATGCATGCATTACTAGTTTTGGACTCTAGGGCAAACTAAACACTTCAAACTTTTAACTTGAAAATAAGACACAAAAAAATCATTTCCAATTAATTATGTAAATTATTTTATTAATGAGCTCAAATTCAGATTATCTAGAAACACAATATCATGAAAACTAATAACACTGTTTGTTTGTTTTGAATTTCGCGCAAAGCTACACAAGGGCTATCTGCGCTAGCCGTCCCTAATTTAGCAGTGTAAGACTAGAGGG